TTTAGTAAATTACGTAAAAAAACAATTTTGAAAATAAAAAGTTTAAATGCTTGATTTATAATTATAGTTTTATAATTTAGTTAAAACTAACAAATTTTTTGTTATTAGTTATAATATGTTTGAGTAGTGTTTCAGTTACTAAAATAGTAGGCCTACTTCAAAAGCTTGTACATACTTGTATTGCTAGCTTGATGCTTTTTAATTATTATATTCTTTATTTAAATAATTTCAGAAAAAGCACACAGTGGGTTTTAGATGTTCAACAACATCCGGTTGCCGTTATTTGTGGCGTTGTGCCGTTGAAAAAATGCTTTTTTTCACATTAAAAAAAGCTGCCGATGCTCCCGTTATGACCGGTGGAGGATTTTTTTCTTGGGGTACAAAATTTAAATATTTTGGCCGAACGGAAAAGGAAATATTACAGGATACATTATTCAGAAAGATAAAAGAACCAGATGTGAGTCTTAATGGGAATTTGATGAGGAAATCGTGCAGCGTTCCAGCTACTCCCTGCACTCCTGCCGGTTCCGACTTGAGCGAAATGAGTAAGTATAACATTTTTTTTTCTTTTTTTTTTTTTTTTTTTTTGAATAATTTATTTATCACCTTTATAATTTAAAATGTGCCCGAAAAAAAAAAAAAAAAAAATTTAAAATGCGTTTAGTACCGCATGAGGCATTTCTTCTCCTGTTACGTTTGTATGGTTTGTTTCAACTCATTCATAAATTTCGATATCATGGAGTCTGAGAAAAATTTGCGTATTCCAGGGTGTAGGAGTTTGCCTAAGGCTGATCATTATATGTTCTATTCGAAATTACACCCAGATTATCCTCCGATTTTTGGTGATTGTCCGAAAAATTCCCTGCCCTGCCTTCAAATAGTTTCGACAAGCCAGGATCACGATTTAGGAAAATCTAGGGTACAAGGTATTAACTTTTCTTACAAGGACTTATATAAATCAATTTAATAAATTTTTAATTAAATTATTATCTTTTTTTGTGGAATGCATTGGAAAAACTTTTTAAGAGGGGGGGATATACAAAGCACAATTTTCAGAGAGAGAGAGAGAGAGAAAGGAAGGAAAACTACAATAAAAATTAATCAAATTCATTTTTTTATTTATTTTTTTTTTAAACGCACCCTTAGGTAGCAACATTTGTAAATAAAATTTATATTATTGAATTTGTAAAAAAAAAAAAAACTTGTTTGTAAATATGTATATAAATTAATAATAATAATAATAATAATATCTTTAATTTTTTAATGCGTATACGCACCGTATACGTTTTTATTTTTATTGTACATAAAATTAAAATAATTAAAATAAATTTTTTTTAATGTGTGGTAGATTTTAGAGATTTGAATGAGTGTGACGATTACTATTTTCGGGATTCATTCGATCGTTCATCATGCGATTCACAATCACACACGAATAAAACAACAACAATAACATCATCTCAAAAATGCAGCAGGAATCATTCTCCTCTACATTCGGGTTCAGGTACAACACACGGGACAGGTAGTAAAATTTTAAGTCCCAAACGAGATGTCACACATAATCCTTTATTACAATTATCCGACAATCATCAGGATATACAAAATTCTATTAATACAAAAAACGATATAACAAAATTTAATTTATTTCAAGTGAGTTTATTTATTTATTGGAATAAATCAATCAAGGTATTGGAAAAGAAATTTTTTTTTTTTTTTTTTTTTTTCAGGTGTTCATACCTTCTTTTTTATTTGTTGTTATTTCATTGATCACTGCCACAATTATTATTATGGAGTCTGATTCTGATCTTGTAAAAAATGTTAATAATCTACCGGAAATGATATCATTAAGAAAACATTATTATGAACCAATGAAAAATTTTTTTGCCAACAGATTTTTAAAATTTATGTTTAAAAAAGAAGTTAAACATTAATTCATCAAATTTATTTAGAAATCTTTTTTTTTTTTAATTATTAATAATAATAATAATATCTTTTAAATAAAATTTTGTCAATTGATTCTCTCTCTCTCTAAATTAAGGCGAAAAGAAAAAAAAATATCAAATCTTGTAGCGTTTTTCTCATTTTTTCTTTCAATAAATAAAGCAATATAAAAAAATAAATAATGTATTATGTATTTTATTTAATTAAAAAAATTTTTAAATAAATGAAAAAAATTATTATCGTACTACTGATACGTAGAGAGGATTTAATTATAAATTAATAAATAAAATTTTATGTATAAAAAAAATTGATTGCTAATGATTTCAAAAAGAAAATTTCTTTATAATAATAATAATAA